TAATAATAATTATAATAACACGCGCTACCATAGAAGAATGGTCCTGAAACAGAATGTCGACAGCAAATGCAGAATATGCCATCAATGTGAGGAACATATAAGCCACATTATTTCAGGCTGCTCAACACTGGCACCAACAGAATACACCGAAAGGCACAACAACGTCGCTAAATACATACACTGGGCTATCCTCAAGCAGCACCAAGTACCAGTTAGCAACAACTGGTATGATCATTCTCCTGAAGCAGCAGTAGAGACAGACGAAGCAAAATGTACGACAAAGGAGTCATTACCGACCGTACGATTTCCGCCAACCGACCTGATATTATTTACCAAAAAACACAGAACACATGGCGAATTGAGGTATCTGTACCAGACGACAACAACGTCAGCACCAAAGAAGCGGAAAAGGCCAGAAAATACAAAGACCTCGAAATCGAAATATCGCGCATGTGGAAGACAAAGACAAGAACGGTACCCGGATCAGCGGAGCTTTGGGGACTGCCACGAGGCAGTCAAGAACAACATAAAAGAAACGCCCCGGAGAGGCGGGCAACACAAGGCAAAAGAGAGCACTGAGGAACAGCCCACAGGGGGCGGAAAACCCGGCCGACGAAAGACCGGAGAACGCAGGCAGAGGCCGGGCAAGCAGCCCGGCCGCGAGGAGGAAAGACAGAAGGAGAAGAAGAAGCAGAAGAAGAAGGAGAAGGAGAAGGAGAGAAGAGAAGAAGAAGAGGAGAAGAGGGAGAAGAGAACAAGAAGAACAGAAAAGAAGAAGGAGACGAATAATAAGAAGAGAAGAAGAAGGGGAGAAGGAGAAGGAGAAGGAGAAGAAGATAGAACGAAGAAGAAGCATAAGAAGAAGAAGAAAAGAAGAAGAGGAAGAAGAAGAAGACAAGAGTAAGAAGAAGAGAAGACGAAGAAGAAGAAGAAGACGATAATAAGAATAGAGAAGAGAACAAGAGGAGAGAAGAGAAGGGGAAGAAGAAGAACAAGCAGAAGAAGAAGAAGAATAAGAAGAGGTAGTCAAATAAAGCATAGTTATAAGAAGAAGAGAAGTAGAATTAAGCATAGATATATAAGAAGAAGAAGAATAATAAAAAGCGAATAGTTATATAAGATATAATATAAGCAGAAAAGAAGAAGAATAATATAATAATAATATAATTAATATAATAATAATAATAATAATAATAATACTATTTAATAATAATAAATAATAACAATAATAATAATTATAATAACAAATAATAATAGCAGGGGTATCTACTTTTGAAGCTGGATCGTTGATCCACTTTCAAGGGAAGATACATGGGGAGCGTCGCCCCCACGGCCCCAGTCAGGGAGTTTCGGGATTTGGTAGTCTTGCTCATTCTACCAAACCCTGGACTTTACCCCCCTCTTTCCTATCCCTCATCCTTCTTTTCCCTTTTATCTTACCCCTTCCAGAACAGGAGACAACCTGCGAAATCCGGAACCTACGGTGTAAGGCGACCGTGCCTAGGGGTGAATGGCTGCACGTAGCGAGTCTCGAACGGTGCCCTCCAGGTGCCTGGCAACACTGGCTGTACTTAGCCTTCCTGTAGTATGGGAGCACTGCTGCAGGTGACCATTGTTTCTTCCCATTATCGTGGGACAAATATGGATATGTCTTATAACAAACAAACGGAGGCGCCCGCCCTCCACAAAACGGGCACTGCCACTGGCAACGAGACGGTGGAATTAATGCCCCGGTTCCTGCTTGTTAAAAGGACAGGAGAAACGTCTCCTGAAGGTTTTGACAAAGTGAGTCCATTGTGATTTCGAAAACGCTATACGGATTAGTTGGAGAAATCCAATCTGTAAAGAAGATAAAAGAAGGTCTACTTGTTCAAACGTCTAGTAATGCACAGACAAAAAGATTGTTAGCTGTAAAAAGATTTACTGATATGGATGTAATAGTTACCCCGCATATAAGTTTGAATAAGTCTAAAGGTGTGATCTACTGCAGAGATCTTATGAATTGTACACTAGATGAAATTAAGGAAGAATTAAAAACAGCTGGAGTCATAGATGTGAGAAGATTGAAATCTAGAAAAAGTGGTGTTTTAACTGACACACCTTCGCACGTACTAACTTTTAAACTCCCACGCTTCCAAACAATATTTGTGTTGCGTACTGCAAACTTAGTATCAGACCGTATATACCACCACCAACCAGATGCTTCAAATGCCAAAAGATTGGCCACGTCGCTGACAGATGTGACAACGAACAATTATGCGTTTGTGGGAAACCTCCACATGAAGGAACGTCTTGTACAGACCCTAAGAATGTGTTAATTGCAATGGACCCACTCAGCAGTATATAAGGGATGTCCAATATACAAGACAGAAGCAGCTATCCAGAGAGTCAAAGTTATTGAAAAAATATCATACACTGAAGCAAGAAAAAAGTGAAAACCCAGACGCCAAAACCTAACTTCTCCTATGCTGCAGCGGCAACATCAACACCTGCAACTTCAAAAATCTCACCAGAATATACAGCTTCGGAAGTAGAAGCATTGATCCCTTACATTATGAAATCTGTTAGAGAGTCACTCAGTAAGCTTCTTCCCCTCAAAATGTTTTCAAGATTCCGATAAGGTTGTCAGATACAAGGTATCGATCAGACTCCGTCTCAACAAATATCTCAAAATGTCCGAGCAACGCAAACGACAGAGAGACCAAATAGCTAGCACTTCTGAAGAAGAAGGGCACAGAACGATACAAGCAGCACTGGCAGAAAAAGGGTCGGCCCAAGGGCAAATCAAAAAAGCAACTGCTGAATAAGTCTATTTAACAATTGCCATACCTTCTACACTTATATCCTTACCCTTAACACCTTACAATGGAAACACCAGAAAATATTATCCAGTGGAATGTCAATGGACTCAAGTCAAAATACTCTGAACTAAAAACAATAATAACGAGGTATGGCCCCTTTTGCCTTACCTTACAAGAGTCGCATCTTAGGCCATCAGAGAATTTCTCCTTTAGAGGATACAAGACGTTTAGAAAAGATGCTGTATCTGATAGCAGAGCACATGGCGGTGTCATAACTGTCATCAGAAATTCAATACCCACATTAGATATTAGACTCAACACCAGCTTGCAAGCAGTTGCGGTGACGATATACTACCCTGTTAGACTCACCCTATGCAACTTATACCTCCCAGACAGAAACTGGTCTCAACAAGAACTGAAGCGCTCGTTAGTCAGCTACCCATACCATTTATGTTAGTGGGTGACTTTACGCTCATAACTCAATGTGGGGTTCAGAAACTACTTGCTCAAGGGGAAGAGTGGTGGCAAACTGTTTTGACAATTATGACCTAGTTCTCTTAAACACCGGAGCAACACCTACATAAATTCGAGATCCATGAACTTTTCAGCCATAGATCTTTCTATCTGTTCCCCTATCCATCGAAACCTATTCCAGTGGAAGTGCTTGCAGGATATACAATCATCCGACCATTTTCCGGTTCAATAGAATTCCCAGTAAACTCAGGTGTCTACAAGACCAAAGCGTTGGATAGCAGAAAGGCCTGCCTGGGAAATTTACAGAAATACAGCCCATTATCATCTTCCTACACATTTAACTGGACAACATTGATGCTCTGTATCTAAAATATCTGAAGGAATTCTGAAGTCGGCACAACTGTCAGTCCCGCAGTCGTCGGCTATTCTTGTACAAAGTCCGTGCCGTGGTGGAATGAAGAGGTAGCCCAGGCAATAAGGGATAGAAAGCTGCATTCAACAGATTTAAACGTGATCTCACTTACCAAAACCTGATGAATTCAAGAAACTTCGTGCTAAAGCTAAAACGTCATACTAAAGGCAAGACGTAATCGCTACAAAGTACGTTTCATCTCTTGACCGCAACACTCAGATTTCAGACATTTGGAACAAATTGAAAGCTAAATCAGGAAAGAAGCATCAGTCCCCGACAGAAGCCCTATGTGTTGATGGAAACACTATTACTGATCCTCAACAAATAGCAGAAGCATTTGCCATGTTTATGAAAACGTAAGCTCTTCACACGCTTACCCTGTGGGGTTCCTGAACAAGGGAGACAGAATTCCTGGAACCCATTCCGGACACAGTGCACGAAGAACAACCCTACAATCTACAAATTTCAATGCAAGAATTCGAACATGCTTTAAATAGTACCAACAAATCTTCACCTGGCAGAGACAAACATTCCTTATGAGTTTATCAAGAACCTCTCCTCTACACACAAAATACTCCTGCTGGAACTCTACAACAGAATCTGGCATTCCGGATATTATCCTGCGGCTTGGAAAGAGGCAGTAATCATTCCAATAGCTAAGCAAAGTAAGAACCAACTTTTACCGAGCGGACCATAGGCCAATATCCCTCACTTGTTGCATGGGAAACACCTAGAGAAAATAATATCTTTACGACTATCCTGGTATCTTGAATCTCAGGGTCTATTAACAAAATACCAAACAGGTTTAGAATCATAGATCTGCAATTGACATGTTGGTGACCTTGAGGCATGCCATACAGAATACATTTGCGAGCAGACTTCATATGGTTGGCGTATTCTTTGACTTAGAGAAAGCTTCGATCGAACGTGCAGGTTTAGTGTACTTAAAGCGCTAAAGAATTGGGGAATACACGGTAAAATGATGGATTTATCAAAAGCTTTCTAGAAGAACGGAGATTCGCAGTAAGACATGGTAATTCTCTATCAAACAGTCACGTCCTGGAAAGCGGAATACCCCAAGGATCTACGTTGAGTGTTCTCCTTTTTAACATAGCAATAAATGAGATATTAATGACCTAAATCCCAGCATTGGCCAAATCATGTTATGTTGACGACATTGCCATTTATTACTCAATCCACTCGATCGATGACATCCAAGATAAACTGCAACAAGCAGTAACGCAATTGTCGAAAAAGCAAGTAGCATAGGCTACCGTTTTTCTGAGACAAAAACTCGATGTGTGCATTTTTGCAGACTTAGGAGAACGCACGACCATCCACAAATTGTAAGAATGGACGCCAGCTTCAGTTTTGTGATAAAATAAAGGTATTAGGACTCTATTCGATAAAAAACTCTACTGAAAGAACACATGCAGGATTTCGTCGCAAGATGTCAAAAAGCCATAAACCCACTTCGTTTATGTCAAACATCAACTGGGGCGCCGACAAGGAAATCTTGTTAACGTACTACAAGTCAGTAATACTATCCAAAATAGGACTATGGAAGTGTCGTGTATGGTGCTGCACGACCATCACACTTGAAAGCTTTGGACACAATACATGCACAGCTTTGAGGTTAGCAACTGGGGCCTATCGCACAAGCCCCTACCGCTCACTTTGTATCGAAGCCAATATTCCTCCGATAGAATTGCATCGCCAGCAAATCCTTCTCAACTATGGGATCAACGTATATAGTCAGCCGCAGCACCCAACTACGCAATGATGTTTTTACAACGAGATAATGTATACAACTCAAGGCCCACAATCACCAGACCCATTGGCGTAAGAATCAGAGAAACTAGGAATAAACTTCAAATTTCATTTCAGATGTGTACACATTGGGTCCTTGTGAAGTTCCGCCATGGATAGACCACCATGTAAACATTACTAAATTAGGGAATTTCGATAAGAAGAACACCAATCCTGCTATCATTAAAGCTGCTTGGCATGCTTTTCTGGAACAACACCGAGACTGGAACGTCACTTTACACGGATGGTTCTAAGACGGAGAATGGCTGTGGATGTGCTCTTGTCCATAATAATATCTGCCACTCATGGACACTGCCAACATGTGCCTCTGTATTTAGTGCTGAATTATACTCAATTTGGCATGCCATCCTATACACTGAAATTCGGGGTATCAACAAGACGATCATA